ATGAAGAGTGCTACCTCCTAGATCAAAGTAGCTCCAGCTCCTTTTCAGCTGTGATCTCTCACGTAATTAGGGCCTAAATCATTCAGGGCTTTCTTAATAGGTTAAAATCCTTGCCTTGAATTCCACCCAGAAGCTTATTGATGATAAACTCTCAGCACGAAACTCCACCTAATAAACTAGCTCATGTTCTTCCTTAGCTCTAGTTTCCAAGTGGTCTCGTCATGTAGCTAATTACCATAAACCAATCTCAAGGTGAGGGTTACTTGTCTCAGCAAATGCAGTTGAAAGAAAGTGTACTTGACCATGTCCATAACCTGGGCATCTAGGAGCAATCAAGTATCTTCTTAAAACTGCATGGGTTCTGCAGCCGTATTTAACAAATGGCGTTTGTACTCTCTCACTGAAGTATATGTGTATAATCATATGGCTCCTTCTCCCAACCAACATGATCTGTCTTATATGGATTGAATTGCAGCCAATAGATCCTCCCTCCACTCCCTTCAATAGTTTATTCATTCTACTCCATTAATGAGGTCAGATGTGATAAACAGTAGTAAAATACTTCATAACAAATCCAACAACAAAACCTTTCTTCACATGATGTTCTAAACAGAACCAATAAATACCAATTACCTACCAGCAAAAGATGTCTCTACTACTAGAGTTGTGATGCTGTGTGGAAGGCTGTCCAAATTTCCTCTTTAATAACAGGATAGAACACCAGTCTTCGTAATGGTAGCAAGCACATTTTTTACCCACTGCACTGTACAGCTGTCCCACTTCCTACAATCTCTTTTCAGGAAAACTTTGGGCCTGACAGCTAAACATAGGTCTAGCTTGTGTTTTAAAAGCTTCTTTCAACACTCTTTCTCAGTTCCGAAATAGGAAATGAACAAGGGACTCTGTTCTTAGTCTTCCTATTCCATCAACATTGTGATGTTGCTTTGTACTTCAACTATAAATCAGTGGCTGTTCAAAAGAATTTATTCACTCTGAGCTAATAACAATCAGATATCTTGTTAGACAATTGATGATAGTGCTAGTATAGGTGTTTAGGCCAATGCAATTAAATCTAGTGGTACTCTTGGGCTCTCTTTACTATCTTTTATGCAAGACCACAGACTCTGATATACTGTAATTGTAATCAATGCTATTGGCCTTGGAAGCTACAGAGTTTTTTTTAAGTTAATAACTAGTGAAGAAGACTACTAACTACATTAGTTTCTTCTATGCACAGTTATCCAACTAATAGTTAGTTTACAAGTGTAGCAAACCCAATTACAGTACCAACTCCTAAATTATAGAAAAGTATCAGAAAAACTGCATTTCACACTGTATACACATTAATCTTGGTGATATGGGCTAATACACACAAAACCATTTTTAAATAAAACAAGGACCTGGTACTGGCATTGGCTGTTGAAGGCTGATTTTAATCCTGCTATTCTGAAATGATTGTATTTCAGGACACACTGTGGGAAATGCAGTTACACAGAATAATTTTGCAGAAGAGAATTTCTTTGTTTTTGGTTCATTTATGTATTGTTTTATCTCTAAAATTGATGAATAAAGGATAACAGAGTGAACCTATTGCAAGAAGTAGAAGGAGCACTGAGAAATTCCATTGTTTATTATTAAAGATAGAATCTATGAAATTAAGTCTGGCTACAGACCAAAGCTAGATGTTAAAAATAAATAAATAAATAAATAAATAAAAGATTTTTTTGGCCAAGAGTGATTAGATGCTTGACGTGTCATCTTCCATGTCGCCACTTGTAATTTTTAGTGTTGGCCTGAACAAAGTGTCCATATCTAACACAACCATGCTTATCATTAAGCTCTCTTTTGAGTGATCTGAAGCTCATCAAATGTGGGTTTTTAAGGAGTCAGGGGAAGAACAAAACACTGAGAATATCTGCTGATAGTCTTGAAAAGCCAAGTTCCAGGCATTGATGCCCAACACCCTAGCAGCCGCGGCAAGATGTAGGAAATGAATTCCCAAATTACTGGGTCCCAAAGTATGTAGGGATTTAAAGGTTGTCACTCATGTTATGAATCCGAGATAGACTATAGCTGCCATTGCCAACATATCTGATTACTCAGAAACAGCAAAGG